ACTCAATATCTAATCTCATTGCATTGCCCAAACCTGCCTACGTTTGCATGGATTGTTACTATCCTCGCTTTACTGCTGTAGTAAGAGGGACTCAAAAAAGGGGAGTGATGGGCCCAAAGCTCAAAGCCTGGTCCTGAACCCAGGTGCTCTCTTTTGAGATGCACAGTATCTGCCTTGACTTTATGTCAGCAGTGCTGTGGAGCTGGAAGGGGCTTGGCACTCAGACCATGCACCATCTGGTGGAATAGCTGCATGGTTTTTTGTTTTGTTTTGTTTTGTTTTTTGCCATGTAGAGCTTCCCTGAGCAGTGTCCATCTTTCTGGAAGCCTGATTGTCCCTGACTTGCAACTGGGCATGGTCCAGCACACAGGCCTGAAGTCATCTGCTGGCATGCTCCCACAAGATGGGACCAGGGAGGCTCATTAGAACTTGTTTGCCCAGCACTTCCAGCTGTCTCGACAGTTTTCAGTTCCAGTGTCTGTGGTGGCTGCATTTCACTCTCCCTGCTCCATGGAATAATGAAAAGACAGGGACAGAGCCCTGGACAGAGAGTCAGGAGCCCTGTGTTTTGAATCCAGCTCTGCCATTTACCTACTGTGGGGTCTTGGGCCAGACTCTCAGTCTCTCTAGGTTCAGTCTTCCCACTCCTAAAACCAGGACCTCCGTGAATATGACATCTAGTATCCCTCTCTATCCCTCATACTATATTTCAAAGTGGGGCCTAGTTCAAGGTTGCCAGAATCCTGATCTTCTAGAGCATAATCCTCTCAACCATCTTGAGCAATCTCTGTTTCTCCCTCTCTACTCTGTGCAACTGGCCAGTAGGGATTCCTGGGCACATCTTTCTCACCGACCTTCCAAAGCCACAGAAAGTCCATGATCTCTCTAAAAGAGGCAGGAGTTTGGAAACAAAATCCAACATGTAAACTTCATGCATATGAAGACACTGATCCTCAGAGGAATTCACAGAGTGCTTTGATTATCTGAAAGACCGAATATTCCCACAAAAGGAATGTGGAGCCCAGGGCTCTGGCCTTGCCTCTGTCACTCACTCTGGGTAAACTAGGACCAGCTTGTTAGGGGTGTGACATTGGAGAGCAAATGGACCAAGTGCCTTCTCAGGGAACTTCCATTTCTAAAAAAAACATGCCAATTCTAACAGAACCAGACTCTTCATTATTTAGATTGCCTCCAGAGCTAGAATGTTCTGTTTTCTATCACTTCTGGCATCTGAAAATTTGAATGTGTGAACACAGCTTCCTACCGTGGGCTGAGCAATATGCCCACAGAGAGACAGAAATGGGGCCCACTTTCTGTGCCCAGCCCCTGACCCCCACAGCAGCCCTGGCAGGGGACAGCCGAGACCACACAGCCTACTAGAAAGAGTTACAGAGTCCCTTCTTGATCCCAGTCCACACTGTTCTCCGTCTAGATAGGGACACGAGAGCCCAGAAAGAGGAATTCTGAGAGGCTCACTCCCAGGCCATCGATTCAGCCACTCCCTGTAGACAGTTCTCATTTCCCCGACCTCACATTCTGATTTTTCAAACTAAACCTCCTCCAGACATCACATCCAGCAGGAAACAAGAAGATGTGTTGCTGCACACGCTCCCAGTCCTCAAAACTCTAGGGACATTGCCGGGTTCCAGCTGCATGAAGAAACCTATCCTTTGATAAGTTACTCCTTCTTGTTTTTATACCAAAAAAGAAAGACCTATCATGGACCCGCAGGGTGATGAGGAGACAAGCTACATGGCTGACAATCCACAGAATGTTATCTACCTCTTGACATCTACCTCACAACCCCCAAAACAGCCGTGACTGGTCAAATACCTGAGCATCCAGCTCTGCGATATAGAGCACAACTTGGGTGTCCTTCATGTTGGTCTTTCCACAACCACATGGCTATGAGAGTGGCATTGGTCTTTAGCTCAAGATTTCACCTCCTCAACTTCCACTTGGAGCCTTAGTGATTAGACCCCAGAGATCAGGCTGCACTGTCTTCCTGCTGGCAGCCTTGTCAACAGAGATTGTACCCTCCTCTGGGGACTTGCTCCTCACCCTCAATAGCCCCTCTGGTGTCCTGCTTGCTCTGGTAATATCTTTTTTTTTTTTTTTTTTGAACCAGGGAGTGAACCCAGGGGCACTTAACCACTGAGCTCTATCCTCAGCCCTTTCTAATTTCTAATTTTTTTTTTAACTTTGAGTCAGGGTCTCACTAAGTTGCTTAGGACCTCACTAAATTGCTGAGGCTGGCTTTGAACTTGCAGTCCTCCTGCCACAGCCTCCTGAACCACTGGGATTACAGGTGTGTACCACAGAGCCCGGTTGGTATTAGCATTCTTGAAAGAAGCTGTGTTTTTCCTTTAGCTAGATGCCATCTAAAACACTCTTTAAGAAAAACTAAACTATGTCATGCCATTTGACTTCAGGAAATGCAAATGCTTCAAAATAAGGGCTTTTTTTTCCCCATCCTTGGGTTTCTCAGAATCACAACTGAGGTCACCCCACTAAACATGTGAAGAACAAAGGGGAAAAACAACAACAACCAAGAACCTGCATGTGTGAGGGGCAAGCAGGCAGGTGTCACAAGTGTCAAGGAGAGAGGGGCCCTTTGGCCAGTGGCAGAGCCTGTGTCTGACTTGATAATGCTGACTTCACCTCAGGCACAATTCTTGTCTTCCCGACTCCTCTGACCTGCAGCCCTTGGAAGAATGAGGCCTGTGTTATTCCAGCCCTGGGAGGAAAAGGAGGAAAAACACCCTCCTCCATCCATCCTACTCATTGAACTGATCTCCACAAGGGAAATAAAAGAGATGAACTAGATGATTCCATTCAACAAACATTGACAGGGCTTCTCCTGGTCAGGGCAGTGGGGATGGATAAATAGTAGTCTCTGCCCTGAGGGTTTACAGGAAAATAAGCAAACAGAGCAAGGGGCAGAGAAGGTCTCCTGGAGGACGTGACTGCCAGGTTGTGTTCCCACGGTGCCTGGCCTGAGGGAGGTGGGGATTCCAGGTAGAGGAACAGCGGGTGCCAAGGTGGAATAGAAAACTAGCTAGCACCCAAACTCCAATAGAGAGGTCAGGAGCCGCCCAGGCGTTCGAGTCTGCACAGCCTGAGTTTGAGCCTCCACCCTGCCATCAGCTAACTGTCTCATGGAAATTTCTCATGAAAATTAAGTGAAATAATTTCCATAATGTGCTTTGCAGAGTACCTAGAAAACAGCCATCATTGCACACACATTCGTTATTGTTATCAATATTACTATCCCGGCTGTTGTTATGGTGATGATTATAAGTAGGAGGACAGAGAGTGAAAAGGGAAGGGCGAAGGTGGGGGGTAAACCTGGAGAGGTCAGAACACGAGGGGCTACAAAGGCCGTGCTGAGGAGTCAGGCCTGGTCATGCAGACAGGAGACGTCAGAGAGGGGTTCCAAGCAGAGATTTGGGCAGACGTACCTCCCTGCAGTTCCTTCTGCCTTTTTGCTCTTCAGCCCCAAAGAGGAGGCTGGGCCAGGGGACTGTCTCATGAAGGTGACAACCTCTAAGGAGAACAAGCAGCTGTCCGTGCTGTGGTTCTGATTCTACACACCCAAGAGAGTGGGTGTGGGCTGTGGCAGAGGACTCGCACTCTGGCTGAGGGATGAGAGAAGCACGTGGCCCAGATTGCAGCTGGCCCACCAGCCCTTGCCACCAAAGGGGCTTTGGGCCAGAAGCTCTTTGTGAATCAAGGGCCCCCAGCTGGGGGAGCCTCCAGCAGTGAGCCGGCTCAGACAGCAGAGGGAACTCTTTGCTTCACTCTGACCACTTCAAGGCCCCACAGAGCTTTGAAGAAGCCAGCAGGGACTTTCTCAGGCCCGAGCAGAGAGGGGCAATGGAGAAGTTTGTGAGCCCAAATAGAACACTCAGGTAGCAAACACACCAGGGTGTGTCCACCCCATTGGATGAGTCAATGGCTTCCTGGGCTCTGATGGATGGACTGAGTGGTCATCTCTGATGACATCATCAAATGATGTCAAGGTCCATTTAGAGATCTCCCAGTTTTACAAAGTGGAAAACGGAGGCTAAGAGAAGAGATTTGTTCCAAATAAGTTGAGTCCATGAGAGCCCAGGAAGCCATTGGCAGGAAATATTTGGGTACTTCTTTGCATACAAAATGATTACTATAATAAGAAAGAGTTAATCCATCATCTCTGATAAACATATTAAAATATTAAAAAATAAATTTCTTAAACACCATAATACTTTAATGCCATAATTGCTGTTTTTCCCTATCAAGGAAGCTCCTGCTAAGATATCTTTAATCCTTTTCCTTCTTAAAATTGAGTAAAAAGATGTTTTGTCTTTGTCGTCTAGCAAAATGGCCCAGAATAGGAAACATGGCCTAACTTGGTCAGAGAGACATGGAGAATGTCAGCATTTCCTCACACTTGTTTGACTTTGAGTCTATCATTGACCATCTTCAGGCATCGTGGATAACTCTGCAGGGTTAGTCTGAAAACAAGATTAGATAACACTGGTGAAAATACACAGAGCAGGGTCCTACATGCATGCAGCAGGTAAGATGGAAATAATTAGTATCACTATTCAAATTTTGACAGCCACTACCTGGGTGAGTGACTTAGGACAATGGATCTGATCCCCAGGATTCTCTCAACTGTCAGAGGCACTTAATAAGGCCACTTTCATGGATTAGATACAAAGACCACACAAGGTAAAGTATGAGGAAGGATGAGAAGGGCCTCTGGCACATTATGGAAATTCAGGTCATATTCCTTCTACAGTCTCCTATAAAAGCCAAAGAGGAAACCCTCAATAAAAATAAATTGTAGAAAAGTACAACTTCTGAGATATTTGACAGCACAAGAACTAAAGAAGTTTTCCTTTTACTTAGAAGCAAAACAGTAACTGTCCCCATCACAGGGTCAGGGGAAAAGATCCAGTGACTTCAGTGCCCAGAGCAGCAGAGGCAATTCATGTGTATCTCCTTGTTTTTAGGAAATTGCTCAGAAGACCTCTTATGTATCCTGAAAAGGGCTCCTTTCAAGAAGTCATGGGCCTACCTCCAAGGTCAGTAGCCAAATCCAGGACAGCCAGCCACATGAAGGCCACTTCCTGTGGCCTTTCAGCAACTTCTAAGCAGAAGTCCCAGTTAGAGGCCAACGGCTGGCCCAGTGTGACCTGCAGCATGTTCTGGATTGCCTGCACACAAGACCTTTCAGCATTTGAATTTGAATGCCTTGGGGAACAGGAGAGAGTATTGAGTTCCAGAGCCACAAGTCTCCTCTTTCCTCAGCCCCTTCATGTTGCCTACCTTGTCTCTGGAGGCATTTTTGACCCCTGTCCCCACCTCCCCCACCATCACCCCTTTCTATCCAAGTACCTACCAGTTTCAGCCAAGTACACAGTTCTTTTCCTAATGCAAAGGAACCCGGCTCCTAATCTCTCCTCTATAAAGTTATTCACAAGGGAACCACAAAATTGTCTTGTCCCCAGATTGACAGCTTAATGAACATGTTGGCACAGGGCCTATTTGCATATTGCAAAATGCTTTGCCATGTAAGAGGCTCCTGATAAATGAAATAAGAGGCACTTACACTGCAAAAGAATGAGATATGGAGGAAATGGCCAGGATTCTCTGAATAGCTATTTTGCTCATTTTAAAAATTCAATTTTGCACATAGATTAGTTCTTACCTTTCAGTTGAATTGCAATGAAATTGAAAGGAAAAGTATATAAGCAATTAAAAGGCACCCTGTCAGTCAGTGCTGGCTTTTATCTGTTAGCACCCAGAGACTTGGCTTCTGACATAAACATGTCAGCTTGGAGGGTCTGCTAATTCTCTGCTTTTCTACAAATCCCAGATGGCAGAGCCCCTTACTGTACACCCGAGGGGCCTGTGCAATTATGTTTGGCTGCCCTTTGGAAAGAAGGGACATTCAAAAATTCAAATAATCAGATAAAGGGTACATCTTAGTGGAGAGTCTATTGGACAACTTGATACCTGAATTGGTTCTTAACTGCACAGTATAGAATGTCCTTTCTCTGACACTTTCCTTAATCTCTCACAAATAGTAGTCACACACTAACTGCTCATTCATGATAAATAGACATGACATTCAGTCCTTCTGCAGAATACAGCCAAGGAGCTTATAGTCTAAAAAGGGAAAGATAATAATCATAACTTCATAACATAATATGATAATAGGCGACGGGGGAAACATTCCATAGTAGGTAGAGTGCACTACTGTGAGTGTTGTGGCCCTCTAGCTTTGAGCATTGGAAAGGAAGAGAGGTAATTTTCTACTTGTACCTTGAATAATAAGTAGACCCTTGAAGGAGTCACATGAAAGATATTCAGATGGCTGGGTCATCAGGCAACATGATAGAAAACATGGCTCTTAAATGGGAACCTTGAACAAAGACAGAGTGTTCTAATTTGTACCCTCGATGTGGTTAATAATTCTCTTTTTTATACTTTCCAGTGTCCAAGCATCTCAACAATACCAAGTTGTCTTGGAACAAAGATGGAATTGTCCATGGCGTCAGATACCAGGATGGGAATCTGGTGATCCAGTTCCCAGGTTGGTATTTCATCATCTGCCAGCTGCAGTTTCTGGTTCAATGCTCAAATCATTCCATGGACCTGAAGTTGGAGCTCCTCGTCAACACAGAGGTCAAAAAACAGGCCCTGGTAACAGTGTGCGAGTCTGGAATACAAACCAAAAACATATACCAGAATCTCTCCCAATTCTTGCTGGACTACTTGCCAGTCAACACCACCATATCAGTCATGGTGGATAAGTTCCAGTATGTGGATACAAACACCTTTCCTCTTGAGAATGTGTTATCCGTTTTCTTATACAGTGGTTCAGACTGAGAAATTTCTCTTGGCCTGCAGAAGAAAACGACTCTCTACCATACAGTATTTCATCCGTTCGTCCCAACACTTGGGCAAAAAGAAAACGTTAGAGCAAGACTGAACTCGCAAAGGTATTAAGTAGTATACGTCTCCTTCTGTCTGTTGGGAAGATACAGCTCCAGGGTTAAAAAAGGGAAGTATTTTTCAGGTAGAAGACAGGGAAGCAGTGTGGTATGGTGGGAAGAGCCCTAACTCTCTGGGCCTCGGAAGGGAGTGGGTTGCCCCAACCCAACCATTCATTCACTATTTAACCTTGAGCTATGCTTTCCCCTCCTGGAACTCAGACTCCAGATCTGAAAAATTAGGGGATTTGGTTTGAATCTCTCCAAAGTTTCCTTCACCTCAGAAGATCAGACCTGTGAGCTGAAATTCCAGGCAGAGATCTGGAAGGTCCCAACCAAAGGAAGGCCCCACCTACCAGTATGAACTGATGGTATCACTAACATCTGACTGCATGTCATCCCAGCAAGTCAGAATGTGGGGACAATGTTCACCTGCCTTGCAGAATATGCCATGTGTTCAGCAAACACCCCACCAGCCTGCAATGGCCAAGGTGATATGGTCATTTAGCCAGGAAACAGCTGCTGTCATCTCCTGAATGATATATGGCTGTTTTATACTTCAAATAACCCTTAGAAAATCAGTTCTGTGATGGACTTTTAAGTCCCGACAAAGTTGTTGATAGACAATGGTGACGCTGGAAATGGGGAGAACGTAGGAGCCCGGCAGCCTCCTGACCTGATTTGAGCAGCTGGGAGAGTTCTCCAGCTACATCAAGTTTGACACTCCCGCATCGTCTTTGAAAGAGCGCCTTATTTGTTGGAGGACTTTGACAAACATCGGAGTTGGAAGTGTAACCCCTGAGGATAGAGTTGAGTGAGAAAAGAAGACCGTCTGCTACTGCACAGAAGAGTGGAGCAAACGTTCATTTTTTCAAGAAGGGAAAAGGTCTAAAAAAAAAAGAAGAAGAAGAAGGCCAGGCACTGTGGCACATGCTTGTAATCCCAAAGGCTCAGGAGGCTGAGGCAGGAGGAGCACGAGTTCAAAGTCAGCCTCTGCAAAAAGCAAGGCACTAAGCAACTCAGTGAGACCCTGTCTCTAATAAAATACAAAATAGGGCTGGGGATGTGGCTCAGTGGTCGAGTGCCCCTGAGTTCAATCCCCGGTACCACTCCCCCCGAAAAGAAGAAGGAAACCACAGCAGTTGTGGTATGGATAGAGAGCAACGTGGAAAAAACAAATGACCAAGGGGAAAGTGTAAGTCCCTCTCTGAGCAGCGTGCCTTGTCCACCTCCTCATAGGTCACCCCTGTGAACCATTCAGTAAAGCCTACCTTTCTCTTCAACTCTTTCTAAGAGTAGATTCTGAGGGAGGAGCAGGCATTGGAAGAGGGATTGAATTCCGTGAGCCAAGTGGCACATGGTTAAAAGAGAGAGGCACACAAAGCTAGAGAATAAGGGGATATCTGGCATTTTAGTTGCACACTAATGGGTTAGGACTCGTGAATTTCCATTGGACGGACTCATGCATTCTTTCTTTTAATTTAATTTAATTTGTTCTTTTTTAGGTCTACATGACAGTAGAGTATATTTTGACATAGTATACACTCATGAATGCATTCTTGAAAAGGTACACTCAACCTAATTGTGTATAAACAAAGCAAATGTTCTTCCCTCTCATTCCTAATTTGTTTTCACATTTTACCAACTGACTTTCATGCAATGAGTGGTTCTTAATCTGATTTGCCACACAATGCTCAGAAAGCCAAAGGCATAAAAATAAATAGATAAATAAATATAAATATCAATAAGTCAAAGTCTACATATATAGGACTCATGATGATTAAAACCAAATTCTGTTACTCTGGAGGACTAAGCATCCCTGGGAATTTTATAGCCAAATGACACCATCTATGCAAGTGAAACAAATCATTTACCTAACTGAGGTCCCAGGCTACCTAAAATATAAGCCTCTACAGCAAAATGTCAACCTGAGCTTAGAGACCCTTCCCTCTTTCTTTCTCCCACACCCAATCCAATCACACACAATATACTTGCAGAACATGTAGAGGAAGGTGATGGTGAGTTGATGAACAATACCAAGTTCAAGGTAGACCTGCCCTTGAAAAAAAAAAATCACATGACCTTGTCCATGTTCACTAACTTTATTTTCAACTGGCCTCCCATCATCTAGCCAGGCCTCCCATAACTGCACCACCTAATTCCTCCTCAGAATCCCCCAGTCACACAAAAGGTGGCTCAGAAAATGGCCCAGTGCCCAGAAAGGTTTTAATATGAATAGTCACTAAACAGAGGCAGAGCTGAGGGAAGGTGGTCAGATTCACAAACAGATGAGACTTCCAGGATCCCTGGAATACACTGGCTATTCCAGCACAGGGGACAAAACCCTTTAATTAAAAGTATCCAGAAGTCAGCCAAGTGTCCTCTCTGGTATGCTCCTGAGACATCAGCTAAGCCCAGTGGAATTCCTATCCGTGGGAAACAGATGCTTGTCAAGTCCTGGCTAGAATTTGAACCCAGAATCTGGTATCCTATCTCTGTAATTCCCCACTAGACTTTATTGGAGTTCTCCTGTGACCTTTCATGTACATATGTGTGTATGCGTGCATACACATGTACATATGCATCTGTGTATATGTAGACATATATTAATATGCATATACATATATATATATATATATGTATATTTTTTCCTACTCACTATTTTATAGGTCATCTACTTAACCAGAGTTCAGGGTAGGAAGCCTGTTTATTGCTCTGGGAATTGCAAGACTTATATATGCTTATATTTATTTTTAATTAAAAAGAGAACAGAAAAGAATATTTCTTCCATTCCTCATCAGCTTATTTAATAACTATTAATATTTTGCCATATTTGCTTTTGCTTCTTTTTAAAGTAAAAGAATACATAGAGAGTTAAAATCCCACTCCTCCATCTATTTCTCAATTTCCTCTCCAGAGGTTATATGACCACTGCCCAGACGTGTATGTGTATGTCTTTCCCTTAGGTAATTTTATATTTGTTTTCCCATAGGAACACATAATACAATTTTGTGTGATTTTTAGAATGTTAATAAATGATATCATGCTTATATAATAGTCTGCGACTTGCATTTTTTATGTAACATTGGAATTTTCAGATCTACTCTACATGTGGATCTAGCTCACCCATTTAAATGCTCTGTTCTCCCGTTTGAATACACCATCGGGGGTCCATTCTCCTAGGTATGGACATTTAGTTTGCTTACAGGTTTTTGTTGTTACACAAAATACTGCAATAAACACATCTTCTTATACACCTCCCACCCCTTGTTGCCATTTTTCTAGACAACAAAAATATTCTTGGAAAAAATATCGATGGAATCCCAAAGCTGCTGTCTTAGCCATGACTATGGAGGGGATAAGCCCACAGCAGGAGCTGAGTCTTTGGAATCTGAAGTGCTCTTTCTATCTAATTACTGCTCTGCTGTGTACATCCGTTCAAAACTCATATCCTGAGTACTAATGTGATTTACCGGACCCCACAGGAGGTGCCAATTTACAATCCAGCATGGTGTGTGCCTTTGAAACCTGCCTTTCCAAGGCACTCTGGGGCTTCTCTGGATCCATCTCTTTGCTGGAGAGTGCACAAAGGACAAACACAGCCCCAGAAGGAACTTCCTACCCCAAGATCAAAGGTGTAGATTCCTTAGGGTCTGGTCCCTACTTCCTTGTCCACTGTCTCCCTGGATGACTTAAGCCACTTCAAAGGCTTCAAGTAACATCATTTTGCCAGTGATTATAAACTGCATTTCCAGCTTTGACTTTCTCCTAAAGCCCAACCCAATACATTCTGTGGCCTTTAGACTTTACCATAGTTCTCTCTTTAGACATTTGAGACCCTGCAGTGAAGACTGACGTGCAGCATTCAGTGCAGTGACTTTTTTTTTTCTTTTAGCATGACCCAGAGAGAGCAACATCTTACATTGCCTGCAAAGACTAAGGAAAAAAAATTGAACACCTGAACTGATTTTATGATGCTCTCATATGTCACATACGACAGTTCGCAAAATACTGTTCTAGTGTGCCTTCCTCCAAAGCTTACTCCCTTGAAGCTCAGAATCCTGGATTATTGAGTCTGAGATGGGCAGGATCTGGGAATGTCTGTCCATTGGTCCAGCAAGCCAGCTGTGGAGGCACTTGGTTTCTGCAGCTGCATTTGCAGACATCCCTGTGTGTAGCTACTAGCTTAGTGAGTAGTGGTGGGTCTGAGTGGAAAGCTAGGAGCATCCACTCTGCTAATGGAATCTGCTCCAGATGTGTACTGGTACTAGAACCAGCAGCACTAGCAGTTTCCTGATTGAAATAGTTTCCTGTTTGCAACAACAGTGATGTGATTCTACAAGGGACAGCTTCCTGCTTGCAAGATTATAAAAGAGACTGCTGTGACAATGGCATCCCAGTTCCTAGGAGTGGCTTTAGAAGTTGCTTCTGGGGCTGGGCGTGTGGCTCAGTGGTAGAACAATTATGTAGCATGCACAAGGTCTTAGGTTTGATTCCCAGCACAACATAAATAAAAGTTGCTCCTGGAAGCTCAGTTTGTTTCTTCAGCCCTCTTAATGATTCTGTAAGCCATTGAAAACCCAATGATAAATCCCTCAGTAGCCTCACTAGCAGGCTAGAGCAAAATCTCTTCTCTGTCGAGGATTCCTAATAGATTCAATCCCACCATATACAAATTGACCTCATGAAACTCATCTCAAACATATCTCTATCCCTCCTCCAAATCTCATGGATGATCTGAGTCTCTCATTACCTTCTTCTCATTCCTTACCCAGTCAACATCCAGCCAATTCCACTAGTCCATCTCCACCACCATCAGCTCACTAAGTCCCCAGTCTCCACCATACATCAGCTCACTAAATCAGTTCTCAGAACTGCCCAACTCACATCCCCATCTCCAGCCTGACTCCTTTCAAACCCCATCTCCAGACTTCAGCAATAATAAGTCTCCACTGTCCTTGAGATTGATAGGAAGTTTGATCACTGATCAAGCTGGTACAAGTTTTGCACTTTTCCTGTCCCCACTCCTTTAATCCTGAAAGCAGCCTTAAGAGGTAGGCATCATCACCCGCCATGCTCCAGACAAGGACCTCCAGAGCCCCAGTCATTGAGTAGCATGGCCAACATCACAGAGCCAGTGGGTGGCAGAGCTGGGATTCAGGATCGCTCGTCTGTGCCCAGAGCCTTCCTAAAATTGAAACTCTTTCCACCTGTCCATCTAGATTCTGCATGCTCTCTAGATTCATGCCCATTCCCCCCACATGCTCATGTTCTTCGCACAAATCATGTTGAACGTTTTCTAATTCCCCAAGTCCTCCATGCCCTCCCTTGACACTCGGTGTTTGCAGAATTTCTGCCTTCGTTGAAATAACTCCTTCCATTCTCTTTTGCCTGATTAACTCCTATCATTTTCTGATCTTCAGGGGACTCTTCCTGACAGTTCTGGTCTCGCCTAATTCCTTGCTGTCTCTTTTCATTCTCCTCCATCCTTGATGGCTCAGTATTTCACTGGTTTCTGTTGGTTTTCTCTGTAGTTCTGCTCCGATACTCAAACTCCTAAAAGGCGATGATGACTCTATGGATCTTACTCAGCATGGAATTCTCACAGTCCAGCATAGTTCCTGGGACATAGTCGGTAATTGTTCAATAAATATTTCTCCAATGAATAACTGAAAAGAGCCATTTAAAACACAGGTCCAATTTAGGGAAAAGATAACGCATAAGCAGACATCACATAAGCCATTCCCCCTGCACCACCCTCCCTCCCAAGAAAGGAAAAGTAACTCTACAAAATAAAAATGTGAATTGAAAGTCACCATTTTTCTTAGAAATAATTTTCAGAACTAAGAAATCAGGAATGCCAATTAAAAATGGGTAAAACTTTCAGGAACTGAGTTCATCTGGGCTATCTGAGAATTTAGAAGGGCAGAGGCAAATCTTTATTTACTTCATTTAACCCCTTTTATGAGCAAGGCATAATATATTTGCTATACAATCCAGCTCCCCTCCTCTCCCTCTGAGATAACTGAATGCTCGCTTAATCATTTTGTGATTAGACACAATTAGTGAAGATACTAATCTTAGAGAGTTTAAGTCAAACTTTGCTGTATTTTAGAATCAACCGAGAGACTTTAAAATCCTGAAATCCCAGGCCACATCCTAGGCCAATTAAATTAGAATCTCTGGGGGTTGAACCTAGGCATCAAGATTATTTTAAGCTCCCAAAGTTTAAGAGTCGAAGGTTTAAATTCTTACTACCAAATTGTGTCCTGGTATCTGCCATCATCAGAGGTTACTAAAAATGCAGCATCTCATACCCAAACTGACACAGACCTGTCTCAATAAAATCCACACAAGACTGAGGAGCACAGTACAGTTTGAAGAAGCCTCATGTAGAAGACTTTCCTTAGTGGAGCTGATGGCTTGCCATCCATTAGGTTTCCCTGTCTCTACTCTCAATACCACCTGACTCACATCCCAATCTCTACCCTCGCTTCTTAAGAACCCCATCTCCAGACATCAATTGGAACTCCCCACTGTCCTTGGGGCTGATAGGAATCATGATCAATGATCAAGCTCTTACACATTCAGGACTTTATAGAGAGTTCAAATGAAACTTTGGCATATCTTAGAATCAACAGAAAGAAGTTAAAGTTCTGAAACCCCAGGCCACATCCTAGACCAATCAAATTAGAATCTCTAGGAGTTGAACCCAGGCATCAACCTTTGGGAAACGGACTCTCCCTTCCCTTTCTACTGCTTATGTAAATGTCAGGGTCTAGACACTAGGGAAAGCGTCATTAAATCCACATGATGCAATATGGTTGTCATAATCATCACTAAGTTTTTAAAACTTGCTTTTTATCCTGAACTTTCCCTTGGGAATCTTGGGCAAAAGTCAAGACAAGAATTTGACTAGTATGTTGAAAGCTTTGGAACAGTCCAGACACTCAAATGGAGACTGTACTTTCCCTGGGGCCCAAAAAAAGAGACAAAATGTCTGGGGTAAGACAGTGACAGTGGAATTTGAACATTTGAGTATGAGCCTCAGCTCAAGGAATTACTGACACTCCGATCTTGGCAAGTCACAGGGACTCTCCACACCTAAATTTCTCCAGCTGGTAAACGGAGGACAATCCTTCCCAAACCAGTCTGGAGAACAAATGTATATATACCAAACTTGAAAAGTACGCCCCTGTGGGCATTTTATTATATTTGCTATTTGAGAAAAAAAAATTGTGGGATAAGGTGCAGGAAAAAAATCAGTACAAATTAGAAAGGAATGAAGGGGTACAGAGGCCCATGCATGGCTGTGATTCTAGCAGCTCAGGAGACTGAGACAGAAGCATCATAAGTTCAAAGCCAGCCTCAGCAACTTAGTGAGGCCCTAAGCAACATCGTAAGATCCTGTCTCTAAATAAAATATATATTTTTTTAAAAAAAGGGCTGGGGATGTGGCTCAGTGGTTAAGTGCCTCTGGGTTCAATCCTCAATACGAAAAAAAAAAAAAAAATAGAAAGAAATAGAAGTGAACTTTCCTCAAGCTACACTGAAGCCTATTCCCATCTGCCTGGTTGGTGGGGTGGGGGGTACAGGCATTGGATCAGCAATGGCCTCCATGAGGCTAACACTCAAAGGCTGCTTCCATACAGTGGGAAAACTGCACTGGATTAACCAACTGGCTGTTGCGGAGATGGAGTACTGGGGGTCCTCTCCCTGTGCCTTCCTGCAGGCAGCGAATGGTCACACAAAAATGAGCACTTTGTCCTCATAGAAATGAGCAGAAGGTAAGAATCTGTCTCAGCACCTAGACAGCTGTCTTTGCAAAGTCAGCACTCGGGAAATGTGATCTCACTGGCAAACGGAGGCGGGAGTTGCCAGCCCAGGCCATCAGCTGAAGCTGCGGGCCTGAAGGCTGATCCTCCTCCACAACCAGGAGCTCCAAGCGAAAATCAACCGAAGCATCTCATCACTGCACTCCCATGGAGGGACGCAGGATGACACCCCTGCCTGACCTTCCGATTTGACCTTCCTCTCTGACCTTCCGCTCCTTACCAGGGATCTGATGTCATCGGCATCGGGCGTGGTAGTCAAGGGAACGAAGACCACAGCCCATCCCAGGACCTACAGCAAGATGAGGAAACAGCAAGAAAATGCCCAGAGAGGCTTTGTTCCTCAAGGAGGCTGAATTCCTCCTGCTGAAGCTGCATTCACACCCTTCAAGACATAACCCTCAATTGTACTCTTTTTTTTCATGATTTTT